GAGACGTCTGGGCATGATATCTGGGGCCCTTGTGGCTCCTCCTTGCCTCCAGACCCAGGAACCGCCAGCCAGGGTGTGTCCCAGCACCGTGGCAGGCTAGCTGACTTCCTAAACCAGCTTTCCGCAGCCACCATCCACAGGAAAACCCTTTTGTCTCACCAGCCAAAAGTTGCTTTAAAGACCAGTTTCCTAGGGCTCCTGACTGGCTGCTGACCCAAAAATTGGTTGCAGAGTTTCCTGTGGCTGGAGAAACCCTGGGGGCAGATGAACTGAGAGCCCATGGAGACAGGTTTGGAGGCTCTGGTTGGCCTCCCTGTCCAGATGCCGAGAGGAATGAGGAGAACCCCTCTCGTTGGCTCTGTCTGCCTCTGGTGACCCTGTCCCCGTTCCCCAGGGTATGGGCAGTACTTTCTGAAGTTTGATTATATAATAACTCACATGTATGTGGGACTTCGCCTTTTACTAAGTGCTTTTACATATATTCTGTCATTTGATCTTTAGAGTACTCTAGTGAGGCAGGTATTTAATATTCTGTGTTTCACTTGAGGAAACTGGAGCTTGGGAAGATAAAAGTAATTTTCTCAAGATCACCTGGCTAGAAATAGCAGAGGGCCTCTCTGGTGGCGCAGGGGTTAAGTCTCAGTACTATCAAGCTATTGGCAGCCACTGAAGCATGAATTCCATCCCCCACCAGGGAGCTGACCCACATGGCCTGGCAGACCTCTCCTGTCTCACCTACTGCTCCCCTCAGCAGTGTATTTCAGTAGATCTGCCTGTTCTGCTCCCCACTCTGTCTCTGGTGAATCCTCTCACTCCTGCACCTCTGGCTTACGCCCCAGTTCTTGTATGCATAAATAAATAAAAATAAATATTAAAAAAAAGAAAAAAGAAAGAAAGAAAAAGCAGCAGACGAGTCTGGAATGTATGTGTTCTGTCAAATGGTGGGCTCCACCTGCTGGGCTCCAGGCGGAGAAACCCGTTTAGAAGACTTCTCTGGATCCTAGAGGATTGTTGCTTCTCTTGTAAGACAAGTTGTAAAATGGGTCACAGACATGATAGGAGAAACGTGTCCCAGTTTGATGGCTCTGGGCAAGACACACGATATTGCCCCCACCCAGTAGATGCTTGGAATGTACTTGTCCCCCTCCTTGCGGTGGCAGCCAGAGTCAGTTGCAGGGGGGGAGGGGCTAATATTAGGATGTTTACATTATTATCCTTTTGACTCAGGGTGGCTGTGCAAGGATTATATAACTGAATTGCAGGACTCTGAGGCCAAGTTTTATTTCTATCATCTGAGTAACTACCTGTGGGGTTTGAATGATGGACTGGAAATGAAAAACAGACTCAAATTCAGCTTCCCTCCGCCAGGAGAGCAGTGTCTGAAGTCACCCAGACTGCGGGCTTCTATCCTGGCTGCATCGCTCAGGGCTTTGCAACCTGGAGCAGGTTCTCCAACAGAAGCTAAGCCTCAGTCCCATCATCTTAAAAGTGAAGCTAGTAACTCTTGCTTTATAAAATGTTTAGAAGTGAAATAAAATGATCCTTGTAAAGCAGTCAGCAGAGAGGACTTTGGCTCTTTGTGGCCTTTAGTGTTTGCTATTTATTATTCTTTATTACTATTACTGCTGCTACTACTACTGATGTAGGTAGAGAGCAAGGTCAGGGCCCATCAGCCCATCAGATATGCGTTTCCCAGGGGGACATGGACGTTCAGAGTGGAATCATGAATTTGCAGTCTATGAAGACTTGTTCCTAGTCTTTGCCTTCCTGCTGCCTAGTCATGCAACTTTTGGCAAATCACTTAATCTCTCTGACCATTAATCTTAGCCTTTCCATTTGCCAAACAGGGCAGTGTCTGCCCTACTGGAGTGTTAGGAGTTGCAATTGAGCTACTCCATAAAGATAGTGTCCAGTGTGCTAGGTGTGACTTGTTATATAAACTATATCCTGTTGGATACAGTGACCTTTTCAGGAACATTTGAGAACTTCTTCCACATCCTTCAGGACAGGGGTGGTTTGTGTCCACCCGGGCCTGTGGGGCAGATGTGTGGAGAGGCTCGGAGAGGAAACATGTGCTCCACTGTGTGTATAGTGGGCTTGCATTTATCTTGCAGTGAGTTGGTTCCCAAAGGTGCCCAGGAGGAGTTGGGGCAGGTGGAGGTGCTGGGCAGGAGACAGGGGCAGCCTGGCTGCTGCCAGTTCTAGACAGGTCCACTTCCTCTCGGTCAGAAGAAGGGATTCCTTGTTCTGAGGCACCAGATGTACCTCCTTCCTAGAGGAGGCCAAGCTCTGAATAGAGGGCCACCAGGTTCCCAGTCTTCCTGCAGCATCACATGGCCTAGAGTCCCCAGACTGCTGCGCCACTGCACCCCCTGATTAGGTGGGCAGTTGCAGGTTCGAGTGGGCGGCTCACTGAACTCAGACAACCCGCATCCATGTCTCTACTTTGTGTGGGGAAAACAGCTCTGCCTTGCTGTAACTTGGGGCTCCTGCCTACATCAAAGGGTTTCTGGGGCCTCAGATAAAGGAAGGGACGTGCATGTGCTCGTTCAATTGTAAGTGCTTCCGAGTTTTCCTAAGGGTGTCCGGGAAATGCTTTGTGTTGCCATCTGATTTATTTCTTGAGTTAGAAGAGCCAAAAGGTTGTTTCTGACATTCTTCCATGCTCTGGCAGGATAGCAGAGTGAGAAGATGTTATCTCGGTTTGTCCTGAGATGAAGGAGGCCCGGTAGCCCAGCGCTCAGACCTAGGGGCTGTGTTGCAGCTCTCAAGTTGGGCTCTGCACCCCAGGGGGAACTGGGAGTTAAATGAAGGGAACTTGAGAAAAATGACTCCTGGCAAAGGAACAGGCCTATTAATAGGCCGGCAGCAGGCGAGAGGGCCTGGATGCTGGAAGCACTGGTGGGGACGGCTGGGTTTATTTCTGGTCACCGTGTTGAGGGGCCTCCCTAGAGGGAGTGATACTAAATCTCCTCATTCAGCCCACTAGCTTTTGTGCCTAGTCCTCTAACTGGCTTCAATGGAAGGTTTGGACACACATGTAATACATCATCTACACATGGAATATATCTAGCCAAGACCTTGAAGTCCTCCCTCGCTTTTTCCCTGCCTGGAGCAGGAATCTCAGGCCAGAGAACCACAGGGACTGGAGAGGTGAGGGCATGGAGTGAGGAAGGAGGACCACAGAGCCCTCAGAGGGGCTTTAAGTCTCCTCCCAAAGGATAGAGGAAGGCTGGGATCATGTCAGGTACTGATGGACTGAGGGCGTGGGTACTGGGGTTCAGCTCATGTACGTGGGCCATTGTCAGGGGAGAGGCCAAACCACAGACCTCATCTCCTCTTGGTTTTTTCTTGAAACAGCTGCCACCCAGGTTACCACGGAGAGAGGTGTCATGGACTGAGCCTACCTGTGGAAAATCGCTTGTATACCTATGACCACACGACCATCCTGGCTGTGGTGGCTGTGGTGTTGTCATCCGTCTGTCTGCTCGTCATCGTGGGGCTTCTCATATTTAGGTGAGTATTAGGGGCTTCTGCAGACTGCTGCTACCAATCATTCCCATTTCTCTTCCTTCTCCTGGGTTTTCTGCCTAGAGGTCACACGAGCACTCCAACCCTCCCAATTCCTGGGTTAGGGGTCTGACTTTCCTGGGTACAGGTTCTTTGGGAGCCTGGCTGCTCTGGCATGATGTGAGTCTAGTGCATAGGGCCCAGGACAAACTGCCCAGTCATGGCCGGTGGTGCTTCCCTCAACAGTCCCTGCAGCCCACCCTGGAGCTTCCTCTTTACAGTTCTTCCTCCCGCCTCTGTTCCTTGACATCATTAGTGTGTGGTTTGGTATTAAGGTACTAGTACCATATCCTTCCATTCCTGAGGCATCTTGACTTCAGGCCATGTTTCCAATCCAGGTTGTATTCTAGAAGGGGGAGGCCTGCCAAGCACTCTATGCCCTTTTTCATCTGTAGAAAGGCCAATCCTTTCCAAGGATTATAATCTTTTAGTGATTGTAATCTCTCTCCTCCTACTTCACAAGATGTGAGGATTATATAAATGAGGCGAAAGGTCTTAACAAATTGTAGAGACAGGCCTCCCTCGAGGCAGCTGGGTTCGATAAGAGTTCTATTGGGCTGCCATGCCCTCTGGACTTTTCTAAGGAGCAGAGGGAATCACCATGACAGCATCCTCTGGAAGGACCTGCTCTGTGGCCTGCAGCTTGTCATAGTAGGCAGGGCTTACTCACAAAACTCATTTTCCTCAGGTACCACAGGAGAGGAGGTTATGATGTGGAGAATGAAGAAAAAGTGAAGTTGGGCATGACTACTTCCCACTGAGAGAGACCTGTGCTCAAGGTAATGGTCCATCCTTTGCCCTGCGGTGCCTTCACCTCCTCTCCTGAGTCTGTGCCTTTGTGCTGAGTTCTCTTGACTGGGGTTGGCAGGGAGGCTACTGTGGAGTCAGGGTCCTATGGCAGAATTATTTTCAGATAAGTTGATGGTGCTTCATCTCCACTTAGGAAAGTTAATAGAGACCCAAGAAAGTTTCTGAGAAGACAGCTCCTCCTGTCCTCAGCCCTGCTCCTTCCCAAACTCTTCCCAGATGATCGTTCCACTTCTTCAGACTGGGCCTGGAGCCTCTTACAGCTGGCTTTCGGTGCCTTCCTTTTGTGTTGTAGGAATCGTCTGGGGAACGCTACCTCTGAGAAGACACAAGCTAATTGCAGACTCTGCAGAGGGGAAGGACTTCACAGCTAGCCACGAAGACTCCCTTCGTCCCCAGTTGCTATCTAGATCGGGTCTCTCTCATAATAGCTTCGCCAAAATACCAGAGCCTTCAAGTGCCAAACAGAGTATGTTCAACCGGATCTGGGTCAGAAGAAGGCAAAAATGAGAGACCTTCATGCCCTTCCGATTCCCCTCCACCAAGCCCCACTTACCCCATAAGTTTGTTTAAACTCTTATCCTCTGGATTCAGATGCCAGTTAAATTCCATATGCTCCAGGATCTTTGAAACAGAAAAAGAAGAAGGAGAGAAAGAAGGAAAGACCTGTGGACTGGGAAGAAGTAACAAAGGCTGAGAAGCCATGTACTCAAGTAGCCACCAAGGGGTCTGCTATTTGGACCCCACCCCCCGGCTCTGGATTTGATGAGCTAACTGTGAAATACCACAAGCCTGAGAACTCTGAATTTTGGGACTTTTACCAAGATGGGAAAATAACAACTATTTTTTGTTTGTTTGTTTGTTTGTTTGTAAAATGCCTCTTAAATTATATATTTATTTTATTCTATGTATGTTAATTTATTTAGTTTTTAACAATCTAACAATAATAATTCAAGTGCCTAGACTGTTACTTTGGCATTTTCCTGGCCCTCCCCCTGCCCCCACATCCCCCACCGTCTGGCTCAGCATTGCACTTCTCTGCCACAAATCTGAGATGGGCTCTGTGACCCGTCTGTAGTCACCTATTGTCTGTCCACATTTCTGAAGATCTTCCACGATCAGAGTGCCACTGGGGGACTTCTGTATGGTCAGGATGTAGGAGTTAACTTTGTGAGATCCACTCTATGAGTTGGACTGCAGTCTTGCCTAGGCGATTTTGTCTACCTTTTGTGTTCTGAAAGCCCAAGGTGCTGATGTCAAAGTGTAATGGATACCGGTGTTTCCCTGTGTCCTCTCCCTGCCCATTCTCAGAAGAGGTTGCCATGCCTGCAGCTTTCCTGGGTCCTCACTCCCCGCCCCCCACGGCCCTAGGCCCACAGAGTGGGAACCCATTTTCCCTTGTGTCAAGACATTTCTCTTACTCCTGCCATTCTTCTGGTGCTCCTCCATGCAGGGGTCAGTGCAGCAGAGCATAGTCTAGAGAAGGTGTTAGCAAAGAAAAAGGCTGAGGATGAACAGGAGACAGTGGAGGTGACTGCTCTTCGTAACTGATAACTTACCAATTGCTATAGAAAAGGTTGGAGGTGAGGAAGGCTTTTGTGTAAACCCACCTTGCTGAAACTGCAAAGGTATGCTGTCATGGTCCCTTCTGGAAGTTTCTGGTGCCATTTCTGAACTGTTACAACCTGTATTTCCAAAACTGGTTGGTATTTATACTTTGCAACCCAAATAAAGATAACCCTTACTCCCTAGCCTTCTGTATGTTTGCTTTAATTGGGAACTGGTTTAACACAGGTTTTTTCCTAAGCCCTGCTTCGGTATTACTTAGGCCCTATGCCAGCCTATTTATGTACACTATCTCAGTATCCCCAGCAACCCAATGGTGGAGACACTATTGTTGCCCCAGATTTCCAAAGGAGGAAACTTAGATTCCGAGAGATTATGTACCTTGCCTGAGGGTACACAGTTTGTAAATGACAAAGCTGGATTGGCTAGCATGACTCCAGTGATTGTTTTAATACTTACATCACAATAACCCTGAGACAAGAGAGAATAGATTTTTCACACAGAAAGTTTGACTGCCTATAAATTTTGCCAGGATGCCAGCAAAGGCATCCACCATTCAACCTATAGAACCTGGACTCAGGGCTGGATGCTGTGCAGGCATGGCTCCTGGTGGAAACAAGGCATCTTGGACTCCCCTCTCATGCTCTGCAGCCAGTCCATTTGCAAATTTGTTTATTTTTTAATGATTTATTTATGCATACAAGAGCTGGGGTGTAGGCCAGAGGTGTGGGGGGGGAGTGGGAGGTAAGAGGATTCACCAGAAACAGAGAGGGGAGCACAAGGAGTTAAGTCTCAGCATTATGAAGCTATCCACAGCCACTGCAGCACCAGTTTGATCCCCAGCCAGGGAGCTACCCACATAGCACAGCAGACCTCTCCTGACTCGCCCGTTGCTCCCCTCAGCAGTGTATTTCAGTCTGCGTGTTCTGTTCCCAGCTGTCTCTGGTGAGTCCTCTCACCGCCACCCCCACACCTTAGGCCTGCACCCCAGGTCTTGTATGCATAAATAAATAAATCTTTAATAAAACATAATCCAGATCTTGTCTGCCTTGCAGGCCTTCCCTGACCACCTTGCATGCCTCTGTACCCGACTCTACTTAGTGTCCTTGTAATGCTATATTTTTCTCCATGAATATCTCTAGAATATTAACTCCACAGGGGTAGGGGTATTTGCATCGCTCCAATTCAATGAGTTGTAGGCACCAATATTTGTTTTGTTTTGTTTTAAGATTTATTTATTTATGCATACAAGAACTGGGGTACAGGCCAGAGATGTGGGGGGGGGTGAGAGGGTTTACCAGAGACAGAGTGGGGAGCAGAACAGAGAGACTGACTGAAATACACTGCTGAGGGGAGCAGCAGCAGAATTAGCTCCCTGGCAAACCAGGGTTTGAACTCGTGCTGCAGAGGCTGCGGTTAGCTTCACCGTGTTGTGCTTAACCCCTTGCACCACCAGGGAGGCCCACCAATATTTTTTACATGGATGAATGAATATAAGAAACAACTCAAGTCCAGTCCAAGATGAGCAAGTAAGCAAGTGTGGAATCCAGTGCTGTCCCAGAGGTAAGGTTGAGTTTAGAGAAGAGTCTCTGTTGAGATAACAGGAAAAAGTGGAATTTGGGCAGGTCATGTGGCCATGGTATCCTGGGTGGGTTGGATTCTGACAATCCACTGGACAAATGCCATTGAACTACCCCCTCCTCATCCTCTTAGTGAGTTAGTGACACTCCAAAATTTCTCAGGAGCCCACATAGAATTCTTTTTATTTTTAAAGATTTATTTGTTTATGCATACAAGAGCTTGGGTGCAGGCCAGAGGTGTGGGGGGTGGTGAGAGGGTTCACCAGAGACAGAGTAGGGGGCAGAACAGGTGGATCCACTGAAATACACTGCCGAGGGGAGCAGGAGTCTAGACATGAGAGGTCTGCTGCACTATATGGGTCACCTCCCTGGCCAGGGATCAAACTCATGCTGCAGTGGCTGCAGATAGCTTCATAGTGCTGACACTCAACCCCTTGCACCACCAGGGAGGCCCATGAATTCTCGTGTGTACTTTGAATATTCTTTTAAAACTTTGAGCAGCAGTAACAGTCAAAGCTGAACATAGGCACACCCTATAAACCAGGAAATTCTACTTTTTTGTTTTTTTTTTTTTTAGATTTATTTATTTATGCATACAAGAACTGCGGGACAGGCCAGAGGTGTGGGGGGTGAGAGGATTCACCAGAGACAGAGTGGGGAACAGAACAGACAGACTGACTGAAATACACTGCTGAAGGGAGCAGCGGACAAGACAGGAGAGGTTGGCTGTTCCATGTGGGTGGCTCCCTGGCTGGCCAGGGATTGAACTCATGCTGCAGAGGCTGCAGACAGCTTCATAGGTTGTGTCTTAACCCTTTGCACCACCAGGGAGGCCCAGGAAATTCTACTCTTAAGCACCAAAGAAATGAGTATAGCGTTTATGTTCATGGAAATACATGCATAAGAATGATCTTAGCATTATTTACAATTACTACAAGCTGCAAATACCCCTCAATATTTGATGATAAAGTGAGTAAGTAAAATGTGGTATATCCTCACACTGAAATACTGAAAGGCAATATGGCTCAGTCTCATAACACAACTAAGTGAAAGAAACCAGTCACTAAAAGGAATACTGTGTGTATTCCATTTATTTATCACAAATACATAAGAAAGTATAATGCAAAAAAAAAATTCCATTTATTTAAATGTTTAAAACAAACACAACTGTGAAATAAATCAACAGATTCTTCTTTTTTTTTTCTTTTTTTTTTTTTTCAAAGATTTATTTATTTATTTATACAAGCATTGGGTACAGTCAGAAGTGCGGGAGGGTGAGAGAATTCACCAGAGCCAGAGCGGGGAGCAGAGCAGGCAGAAGGACCCAAGTACACTGCAGAGGGGAGCAGCGGGCGGCAGGAGAGGTCTGCGCACCATGTGGGACCCTCCTCCGGTGGCTGGGGAGCAGCCGGGGATCGAACCGGAGCTGCAGAGGCTGCAGGTAGCTTCTCAACCCAGCGCTCAACCGCTGCACCACCGGGGAGGCTCAATCAACAGATTCTTGCAGGGACTGGTAATGACTGGATGGGGACTTGCGGTGTTCTGGTAACATCATGTTCCACCATCCGGGTGCTAGCTACCCAGGTACATTCACTTTGAGACAACTCATCAAGTATGATTTGTACGATTTTCTATATGTATGAAGCTTCAATAAAAAGATTTTTTTTAAACCTGGGTAGGTGACTCTTGCAATCCGCCTTGTCTGTGGTTCTGTAAGGTACGAAAGTATTATTGCTTTGGTAATCAGAGAAAACAGTGCAGATGTCAGAAATGCATCTGCGGAGCAGGGAGCTACTTTGAACTCTCTGTGGGGCTCCCTTTCCTGCTTCCAAGCTTCAAGCCTCCAACCCTCACCCGGGCTGGGCTTTTCCGAGCACACTTTGTTTCTCCGGCTAATGTTTCCTGTGGGTTCTTGGCTTCCTGCCTTTTAGTTACTCTCTTCTCCTGGCCCTGCTGTTGCTGAAAGCTCTCCTCAGGCATCACTGGAGCCCCCAAGGAGCTGACATCTACTTGGCTGACAGGGAGCCCTTGAACTTGCAGTTACTACCCAAAATTAGTCAACAGAACAACTCTGGCCTTTCTGAGGACAGAGTCTCTACCTCTTCTCGGTGGGCATCCCTTTCAGGAATCTTTGAGATGCTTTCTTTTGTAAGTTCATAATAATTATTATTATGGTTAATAAATATTTAATATGCATGGAGTGCTTGCTATGTGCAGGGTATTAGACTCCCCACAGGCATCATCTCAATTACGTCTCTACAAAACATAGGAGGTAGATGCTCTTATTCATCCCAGGAGAGTTATAGATGAGGACATCGAGGCTCAGAGGTGTTAAATGATTTGCCTGAGATGTGTGATAAAGGCTCTTGCGATCTTGGGAAGGCTGACTCCTGATACTCAAACCACTAAGCTACATTCCTATGTAAGTTCTTGGGCCAGACTTGGTTTAGCTTCTTCCCATATCCAGAAATAATATAGTGAAGACATCACATCATATGAGGGCCTCCCTGGTGGCGCAAGGGTTAAG